TCTCTGGAACAGCCACGTTTCAGAACGAGGGCAACAAGGAGAAGAACATGAGTTCCCTGCCAGGACTAAGCAACATGCCTCAGGGCCAGCACAGCAGGCAGGCAGGCTCTGAGTGCTCACAAGGGGGAGGGCACACAGCCACATTCACTGGAAATGGTCAGACATGCAAACACTTGTTTTTCTCTTGAAAAGACATGGGAAATGCAAAGACCTATTCTCTCAGCACCCCCTGTCCCACTGTGCAGTGCAGCAGCATGATCCAGGGGCAGGAATGTTATGATGTCAATGCTTCACAGGGAGACAGGAAAGTCCATTTCAAAAGCAGGTCTCCCAATGAGTGTGTGCCCTTTCTGCCCAAATAAGCCCTGCAGCAGGGTCTTAAAGGAACATTAACAGAGTGAGACTCTGGGCAGGATGCTGCTTTCAGGGAGAATGAAAAATAACCATAGCATCCAAAAACAAACAGTGGTTGGAGCAACAGAGTACCATAAGGTCCCTGTCTGCCAGGGGCTCTCGGCCTCCTCCGTCACTGCACATGTGGCCAGCTTGTGAGCACTTAAGCCATTTTCCCAAAATGCTGTTCATCCCAGCCAAACTAGCCTCTAATTTGTTATCCATGCAACATGTGTTTCTGCAGAAGCTGGTCCCCAACTGGAAACCTTCCCAGTGCACTCAAAGTCTGCTTACCATTGTGCTCTCCTCAAATATGCTTTGATATACGTGTCATCCAGTTTTATTGCATTTGTGCAGTCATCTATTGCTTCTTCTAGTTTCCTAAGCTACAAAGCCACACAGTTATTAAATGCTCCCCCACTCCCAAGGTACAACAGAATATGATACACAAAGCTACAATCCCATGCAAAACAAAAGCTGCAAATATATGGGGGTTCGCAGAACATCTGCAGAGACCTCTCCCACAGCTGTTTGGTGTGAAGTTCCTCCCCCCCCCCCACATAACAGCCAGAGATGAACTACAATTCTGCAGAACTCTGCTTGTTACCAATGTCACAGGCCTTTTGCTTCACAGAAAGAAGCTCAAAATTGGCTGGAACTGGCAAACCAGCCTTCTTCTAAACCACATGCTGCTGCTTTTAAGTACTGTACTTGGAAAGAGAGGGAGAGGAAGAGAAGGGAGACGAGGCTTGTACCCACATTAACTCTTAACAGGATTGTGCAATTGTGAAAATTAAGACAAAAAAAGAAAAAAAAAATAGTGCCAATTTAAAGCAATATCTGCCAGAGCCATATGTGGCTCCCCAGCACCACCCCAGTGTCTGAAGTACCTCAAGTCTGTTGACCTTCTAGGCATGCTGCCATGCTCATTTACTGCTGTAAGCATTGATTGATGTTGGGCAGTTGGAGAGGGATTTCTATCCAGCAGGAATAAATTGTGGCAAATTTAAGCTGTCCATGGGCACAGCTACACCACAGTGGCAACACATCCCCACCTAGATGACCCAGAGCACACCCTACCTACACATTTCTGCTGACACAGTCCAAATGCAGAAGCACACCCACTGCAGGATCACCCACTGCTCTCATGTATGCTGGAGACTAGGTGTCTTGAGTGGCCTTGGGAATGTCCTACCAGAGCATGCAATTGCTGTGGTGTTGGTATGGCCCAGGGCAGACAAGTTTGCCGCTATAGTTTTTGGCACACAGCGAAAGTCCTAGGCACCTTTGACAGGCAGCCCTTGAACCAGAGTTCCTTTTTAAACTGAAAAAATAGAGGCAACAGAATCTCCTTACTTAGGAGACAAGCAAATAAACCTGACGGGCCCTTCCTGATGGAAAAGGCTCATTTGCTTGGGACAGCAGTTTCCTATGCCATTCAGAACAGTCCCTGTCCCTTCACCAGCAAGAAAGCCAAGCTTAGGGCCTGCCATGCTGAAGGCAACCATCCTACTCATCAGGGTGTAAAAGTATCAGTAAACTAGCTGAAACCAAAGAGAAGCTCAGCACCCCACCTCCCTTCTGAATGCATGTGGCCCCTCACTGGCATCCTACACACTCCTCTACAGTGCAGTCCATGTTCCCTGGGGAGCGCCCCCAATGGATGACCACCTGCAAGTTCACCCACATCTTACCTTTGAATTAACTGTCCCTCGGTTACAGTAGAGTTTGGCATTTGTTTTTATGTTATTGGGATCTATCCCCAGTGCCTCTGTGTAGAGTTCATAAGCTAGTTTATAATTTCCTTCTTTAAATGCTTTATTTCCATCTTCTTTCTTTGCTTTAAGTGCTTTGGCATTCTGAAACACAAAACACCAAGATGAGGACAGCAGCTATGCCACAGCATAACCCCCTTCTTTGGCTGTATCAGGCCTTACAATACACCTAACCTACTTCCAAATTCACCAGCAAACTAGAGAAGCAGCAGCTTTCCCAACACTGCTGGGCTTCTTGCCTTTCACAAAGGGAACGGCTAGGAAACAGGTGGGATCAGTTCCAGCCATGCCCCACAGGACGACAAGGCACAGTCAGAACACACCAAAGCAGCAAACCCCATGTTATTAAAAAATAAAAATAAAAAGCAATAATAAAGGAGCTGATCCAGATGCTGTGCTGACTGGAAAGGGGAGTCATAGGGAACTAACTGAAGTAGAGGATGAGGAAGGAAACTCTTCCAATGCAAACCAAACTGTAAATCTTAACATTCTGACAGTCTGTTAAACCTAACTAGCAATCAAGTTGCCTCCAGAAACCTGGTATCTAAGACAAGAGCCCACCCTTGGCTTATTGCTACTGAATTCTGCGGAAGGTTAAATCCTGAACAGAAAACAAACAGCAGGGAGAGACGGCTTGCAGAGTGATATAGCCTATGAGAGAGATTGCCTTCCTCCAGGAGCTATCCCAGAAAGAGGCAGCAGATGGGGTGCAGGAAGGACTCAATGTGCTATAGGTTTTTGTGGTTCTTAGGAATTTTAAGCCTTCAGAAGAAAAGAGAGATGAAAAACAGGAATGTGAACAGGGACTGCAGGAGCAGGCCCAGTCAGAAGGACAGTTATAAACAACCAGCCTGGCATCCATTACTTACTCGGCAGGCCATACATGCTTTCTCGTGATCGGGAGCCATCCTGAGTGCTTGGATGAAGAACTGCACAGCCTTCTCAATACAGTCTTCATAGTAAAGGCAAAGACCTCTGACATAAAGGGCATCTGCATTCGTGGAGTCCATTCGCAAGATGTCACTGTAACAGTCACAAGCATCCTCAGGACTGGATTTAACCATCTCGATGATGTAGGGCACCGTGGCTTTCCTCACCTGGTCCCTGCTCCCATGGAGATGTCAGCATCCTCACCTCCTTCTGACCAAACCTGAGTCCCTTGGAAGAGGAAAGCCACTTCCAGATCTTGATGTGCAGGACAGGAAGCCTTACTTGTGACTTCAAATATACCAGCACAGACTAGTGGGGAATCAGCTTCACTACCCCAAGTTATGACAGTAATGCCATAGGTCAGAGGTTTTCAACCTTTAACAAGTGTACCTCTTCTGTCCCAAAGTTTCAGCTCATGTACCCCTTTATATTACAATTATTGCGGGGGGTGAGCACACATGCCCCTCCCTGCCCCCCCCAGCAGGTAAGGCTGTGGGGAGTGGAAAGGGCTGTGGGGGGGGGGGGGGG